CTAGGCTCTGACACAAGCCACCATCTGGGTGCAGCAGGGACTCCTCAGGCTGCCTCTGAGCAGTCCTAGCTCTGCAAGAGGGAAGCAACCAAGCATGTCCTGAGCTGTGAAGCTGCCTGGCCCCAGCCCTGCTTCTGTCACTGACACTGTCTTTTCTTTGGACCTGCCACTGGGACCAAAGACTACCTGCCCCCAGGATGGCAAACTGCCCTGAGCTTTGCAAACAGAACACAGGACTCAATTGCTCACTGCTCTGCAATTCACTCCCAAACATTTTTATTTATTAGGAAGCCAATGTCAACATATTGTACCTTTTTCTAAGATAAGAAGAAGCATGATTCACATCTCCAGCGTCCTCACCCGGTGCGATAAGCAAAGAAAGGGAGTTGATCTGGAATGGAGAGTATGGATTCCAGTTCTCTGCCACCCCCTAGCTTGTGTGACCAGCTTGTGTCACTTAATCTCTCCATCCACAAGGTGGGTCACTGGTAGGTACTCATTGTATCTTCCAAGGCTATAAGAAGGATTACATGAGATCAATTCCTTTTTAGCAATTTTCAGGGACTTGGGACATGAAAGAATACATAATAACCCATGGACAATGTGCCTGCTGGATGTTCTTCTGGGACCTGAGAGAAGGTCAGTTGCAGCACATTTGGCACTTAACCTAACCCATGGAATACTTGCACGTTGTGCATTAGGCCTCGTGAATCTTACTCCAGAGATGCTCAGACAACTGAAGAGATTTGAAACAGGTCTAGCTGACTCCAAAATTTGTGCTGTTTGTTTTGCAAGGTTTCCCTCCCAGCCCTTGCCTTCCAAGACCATTTGCACCTCTCAAACAATGCAGAAAGAACCTTCAACCCACCACAGTTGGGTCTAGTTCTACAAGCCATTTCAGAGACGTGTATCCAGGCTCCTGGATCCCAGCTGGCTTTGGCTCACAAAGCCAGGCTGGAAGCAGCAAACCTCGTCTAACCTCCTTGAGTCAGATCTAGAACACCATGTACTTGAGCAGAGCACAGGATGGAGATGAGAACTTGAGATGGGGGAATAACGAGCCACCACCTTAATTCAGCCCTGGCTCACGAGGTTTGAACTGTCAAACACTTATCCCACTAGCAAAGCAATGTCCAATTCTTTCAAAGAATACCTGGGCACTGGCAAGGCTCCATAACATGGTCCTTCCCAGTCCAGGAGAAATCCTTGAGAGCTCTGGTGATGTATGAAGCGACATCTTCTAGAAATACTGGCAAATCTGTCTGGCTGAAACTCCATAGGGATTCTATAGCAGAGTTGTGTCAAACAGTGGTACAAAGTTACTCCTCACTCCCAAATATAGGACCTCAACTACTTTCTCTGCCAGCAGAAGGTCAGATTCACCTGTTGTCTGTTTTCATAGAGTACATTAGAAACCTTTGCCGAAAGTGGTCACATACCTCCATAAGCAGGGGGTGGTGAAGAGGGATAGGGCCCCCATTTGCCGTGATCTACTAAACAAAGCAGTGGGTCTCCCCATGTCCATGCTGTGTCTCTCCCTGCACATCAGACAATGGAGCGATGAACGTCACTGACTGCTTGCTTCCTTCACATCTCTGCCAGGGGCTTGCAGGGAGGAGGAATGGGGAAAGGGCTCCCTATTTAGAAATTGCATTGAGATGGAAAGACAATATGACACATCAGCTCATGTCAAAAGAGCTCATTCTTCCCGCCTACAGCATTAGCAATTTCCTACCAAGGTTCAAGATTTTTTTTTAAGAAACATTATTTGCCTTTAGTTTATTTGTAGCAGAATTCAACAGGACGTTGCTATTCCAGAGTGGGTACCTACCTAAGGACAGAGACTGGGTTGGGGGTGGAGGGGTGTGCTTTGGCTATTTCTGAGAAAAAGAGGGTAGAGGAGTGGGAGGCCTCTATGTTTGCCTACATTCCTCCTCCCTGCTTCCAAGCAGTCTGCCCTGGAAGCTAAAGATTCAGGAGGCTCCAGCCTTGGGCTGCAATGGGGCAGAGAACAGATAGCAGGGAATTGGATATCTGAAATTAGCCCTTTTGTCAGAGCCAGGAATGTCTGCTCTTTGAATTCCTCCCAATCCCCTCCTTCAGCTCCATACGAAATCCTGAAGTGTTGTTGCTAGAAGCAGCCACTAAGAGCTCCTAAACCAACTTCAGAAAAGGACAGGGGAGCCCAGAGAGGCAAGGTGGGCCACTTGGATGATTTGCTGTACCAGTTCTGGAAGCCAGGCCTCTTGGTGCCCTGGTCAAAGTCCTTATTTGTCACTACACCTTACTGACTGTCACTGCTCCCTAGCACCCTTTTTCCAAAATGCAAGTTTGAGGAACAAACAATTCCCCCTTCTTTCTGCCACCTTCCCTCCAGGTCTAGAGAGTCCCCAGGAGTCTGAATTTGGTATCTTCCTAAAGGACGAAGGATAAGTGCCTTTTAGGATTAGGTTTGTAAGGTTACAGAGAGGAGAGCTTCCATCCTCATGTGAGGATTATTTTTTTCTACATTGTGACTAAAGATGTGACCACAGTGGTTCCAGCAACCAACTGGGGCAGGGACAGTACATGAAGAGGACAACTAAGCTGATTTGTCTTGATGTTTTTTACATTTGGGGGAGTATATGTTGCTTTACAGATCTCCCTCTGCTCTACTCTCACTATGGCCCTCTGCATCTCCTACAGTGGTCTCTCTGTGTGTCTCTGTCACATCCTCTGCCTCTGTTTGTGCTTTCTCTCTCATCTTTGACTCCAATTCTGTGTCTCTCCTCTGCATCTCTCTCTCACACACCCTTCACTCCCACACTCCAAACCCCAAAGCTGCTGATGGATCAGGGTCCCTGCCTGCAGCCCTGTCAGGGCAGAGTCACCTCTGTCCTGGTGGACTGAGAAACGCCAGGTCTGGAGCAGCCGTTGGAACATCAGAGATGCTGCAGAACTGCCTGCAGAGTGTAGCGGTTGAATCCGGGAACGATGAGAAATTATCTGTTAATTCTCGGCTTCAGCCACCTGCTCTGCTCCAAACAGGCTCCTTGGCCTTCAGTTAAGATGCAAATTCCCCCACTCCGCGTAAGTAAAGTATTGATCTCCTTGCATCACAGGCCTGGGCCCTTGAAACAGTCCTGTGTTTTTTCATTCTCTGCAAAGGCAAAACAAGGCGCTTTGTTCTACGATTTTCCCCAGGAACTCGAGAGGGGGAGGGAGAAATCACCGCGGAGTGAAAAAGTTGCCATAAATACTGGCAGAGAACAGTTCCTCTCCATTTTTATTTTGCATAAACACAACCCCCCAGCTTCCAAAACTGCCAATAGGAGTATGGACAGGGGGCCTCCAGATTCTTGTCTTTCCCAGATGCTGAGGTCTGTGCTAGGTGGTGTAGGGGAAGGTAATGGGGCTTCTGGACTCCTCAGGTGAATTTTGGGGAAGTGGAGATGCCAGAACCTCATCTGTTCTTGGAACAGTAACCCAGTGTCACTCTCAGGAAGATGACTTGGATCAGATCCTGTGACCCAGATCATGCCTGTTCAGTCCTGCCCACCTAAATGATCAGATCTCATAAAAGGCAGGGCCCAAGGGTCTTGTAGAAACTGTGAACCCACTTAATTGTAACAGTCTTCTAACCCCTTGGCCCATCTACCACTTTGTTAACTAGATCTTCAGCACCACGGACAGGTCCAGGATGCTTGCCCCAGGACCAAAACCAAACAGGTAAAGCGGGGGTCCTGTGAGGTCTTGGCTTAGCTGTAGGTACCCTGGACACCCTCTGATGGGATTAGCACAGATCCAGAAGCTGACCAGTGTGGGTGTCATAGATAGCACATGATAGGAGACTCAAGAGAGCTGGAGCCCCAGAATCCCCTTCTCTTGGAACATGAGTCTGCCAGAGCTGCTTCCAGTTAATGCATGAATGAGGAGGAAAGACCCTTCTTTCCTTCCTCCACCAGCCACCTGGGCATACAGAAACCCATCAGTTTCCAGGGCCTTCAGCTAAAGTTTCCCTCCTGGCTCTGGGACAGAAAGGGGACTCAAGTCAGGAGCTTCAGGTGGACCTCACAGAGAACAAGACCCACAGACAACAGGTGGAGGGCCTAAGACTGGTGTGGAGCCTCGTGAGGCTGGAGTTCTCTAGATGCCAGAAATGGCCCATAGGTTTCCAGGACCAAGTGCGACATCTCGAAGACCCTCAGCTCCTGGGCCTCACACTCCAAATCCTGGGGGAAGCTCAGCTTCCAGGTTAACCTCAAACCCCTGCCTCCCAGCTCCCCCATCTGGTCTGGCCATGGTGGTTCTTAGTGATTTCCAGTGGCATGACACTAATGAGAGAGGGAGTCTGGCGGGAACCGGGTACCCTCTTCAAATGCCCCCATTCCTATTCAGCAGAAACTTTCACCCTCCCGTTGCCATGGAGAGAGACGGCCGCTGCCTCCCGTCTCCATAGCAACGTGCGGGTACCGCGGACCACAGAATTGCGGGGCCCTGAAAGTCCTCGCGCAGTTCTCTGGACCCCACGGTCCTCGAAGGTCTTGCAACCACGAAACTGGAACTTGGGACACATTTGACTAACTTCTCCCGTTGGGGACCTCGATCAGGTCTTCCCACTCCTAGGGGGGTCGCCCCTCAGTGCCCTAGAGGTTATCTGTTGTGGTGCTACTTACTTGGCTTGTGACAGCGCCCGGGTTGTCTTCCCAAACACTACCTCTGTAACTCCAGAGAGCCCGCGCTCTCTCCAGAGAGCCTCTCCGGAGAGGAAAATTGAGGCTCTGTGATGCCCAAGGTCACAGCAGGCTGTGAAAGTGAAGCCGGACGCGGGTTCTTTCCCTTGCCCCGCTCCAGGATGCGGGACGCGCCCCCAATCCGTCCTCGCCCCCAACGCCCCCAGACTTAGGTCGGTCCCCGAGTGGGGGGGTGCCTGGTGGAGATGGGGGTGGGGGAACGGCCGGGAGGCGCCAGACTTGCCAGCTGCCGCGGGGTGCCACGTGAGGGGGCGGGGACCCTGTGGAGAAGTGATTAAAAGCTGAGCGGAGCCGCAGGGGGTCGCTACGGGGAGGGTCTTCAGGGGACCGTCTTGCCCCGGCCCAGTCTGGCCACAGCGCGGGTTTAAAAGGCTACTGGGCAGGCCTGGGTGTCCCGGGCATGACCGGAGTGTGGGAGACCGAGGAAACTCGGTGCCAGGCGGCGCTCGCGGTCCTGGCCTCGCTGTGCCGGGCCCGGCCGCCCCCTCTTGGGCTGGACGTGGAGACTTGTCGGAGCTTCGAGCTGCAGCCCCTGGAACGCAGTCCAAGTGCGGCCGACGCAGGTACTTAGGGGAGCCGGGCCCCTTCCTTCCCGGTTCTCACCCTGGAGTCCCCCGACTCCCAAACCACTGGCCCCGAGGGCTCCAGGACCTACAGAGAACACTAGCTCGGGATTCCGGATTCAGAACCCACCCCAACCCAGCCGTCTGGCCCACCATCGCCCACAGGGCAAGGGGAGATCCACAGGGAGACAGGGGAGAGCGCGCGAGGCCCCTCACGCGAGTGCTGCAGATGCCGGGCTTCGGGGCGCGGACGCGGACGCGAACGCGGACCCACCCGCGCCTCAGTTTCCCTCCCTCGAGTCTCTCTGAGGGCCACCTGCCAGGGAGGGGTGGGCTCATCCAGATGGAGACCCGGCCATCCCGGGAGGAAGAAGGCGCCTCTCCTCGGGGGCATCGCTGTCCCGGGTCCATCCAGCTACTTAGTCCTGGTGGTGAACGTGGGCCGGGCCCCCCTGGTCACCCCCAAAGAAACTTGAGTCTGCGACTGGCACGAGGTCTTTGTGTCCGGCGATTAGGCTCCCGCTGCGAGCGCGCCGGCCCGGCGTTCTCCGCCCGGGGCGGCGGGGGGCGGGGTGGGGGAGGGTGTCGCGGCGTCCTCCCCCACCCCCGCGCCCCTATAACTCGCTCCCGCGGTCTGTGACTCACTCGGACTCGCGGCCGGTGCGCGACTGAGCGGGTGCCTCTCGCCGACTTTGCCAAGAGGACGCCTCCCGCCCCAGCAGCGCGAACCCTGCGCAGGACGCAAGCCCAGGGCGGCCGCCGGGTCCAGGCGGGGGACCGAGCCGGGTCGAGCTCGCCGGAGCCGGTGAGTCCCGAGCCCGAGCCCGACCCCACACCACCGGGGAATCCGGGGTCCGGAGCGCAGCGGCAATGTCTCCCAGGAGTCGTGACAGCAGCCATGGCGTGTCGCGCCCTGGCGGTGGGAGCCACGGAGGTTAGGTGGTGAGGCTCGGCCGGCCGGCCCCGGACTGCACCTGCTGCACCCGGGCCCTGCGACCAGGCTCACACATTGCGGCGCGGCTCCTTTGTCCCGATGTCTGGAGAGTCCCAAGCAGGAGAGAGTAGGGGGTCGCGTTCCCTCCAAGGGACGAGAAGGTGGGCCTGGGTGGGGGGCGCAGTGAGAGGCCTGGAGAAAACGCAGCGTGGGGGTGGGGAGACACTGCCAAAACGCAGGGTTCTGTTGAGGGGAGGATGCAGCAGGCTGCCCTCTTCCCTGTCCCCCAACCTTCCTGGGAGTCTCCCCGCGGTAAAGGGAGGAGGAAGCTGTGAGAGGTAGGAACTGGATCCCCAGGGACTTCTCCAAGGAACAAAAAGCCAGACAGGGGAGCAGGTACAGGTGGGGTAAGCTACAGTGGTGGCAGGTTCCAGGGCCTTCTTGTCACTAGACGTTAAGCGGCAGAAGTAGAGGTAGACTCTGTAGAGATAGGAACACTCATGGGGGGAAGGGGTAGCAAGCCAGGACTGTGTGTGTGTGTGTGTGTGTGTGTGTGTGTTGTTGGATCCACCATGTACATTGGGTATAGGCGGCACTGCTTTGCTCTGTCCCTGGCAGTGTTTAATCAATCAATGGGCTGATGACTGCAGTTGAAGAGACAGAGGTTAGACTTTTAAAAAGAACTTTCCAAAGAGCAGGATGGAGATAGAGACTGTGGAGCTTGAGTCTCCCTCTCACACATTTCTCAGTACACATGAGGCCCAGCAAGTATCATCAGACTGGTTCTGGAGACTCATTCTCTTCACCATCACCCAATACCCCCCATCAGCCACCCACCTTGGTTTTCCCTCCAGAGGAGGGAGTCATTTCTCACCTGCCCTCCCCCTTTCCCCAGTTCCCTTCCATCTTTCTCTCCAGTGATCCATCTTCCAGTGTGGATCTGTATCTCTCAGAGCTTAAAAGGTGTGACAGGTGAAATACACCTGTTAGGTTCCACCTGGGATGGCAGCTGCCCCCTCTTGCCTGCGCAGGGTACAAAGGCTGAGGGTGGCACAGAGTGTGAAGGCATCTGTTTGTTTGCGGCATACCCTGATGGGAGTGGTACTGATGTTCAGATACCAGCAGGATGCTCCTTACCCTGGATGGCAGGTGCTGGGTTGAGGAGGAGGGCTGAGAGCCTGCAGGCCCGGTTGACTCAATGTGCCTGCCCTGCCAGCTGCTTCAGAAGGCAAGTTGGAGTTATCAGCCCTGGGGAACTTTAACTTTGGCTGCTGAGTCACAGGCCCCAGGATGGCTTGAGGGCAAACTAGCAGAACACAGGGTCTTTGGGAGCTGCTGTGGGGTTTGGGATTATACCATCTCTCTGCCTGCCCGCTGCCTCCCTGGGCCACTGCCTAGGTGCAGATTCTCCAGCCTGAGAAATGATTCACCTATTGAGAAAAATGTAAACAGCCCGCTCCCTTCGCCCCTTGGTTTCCCCTACCTCCCTACCTACCACTCTGAATGTCGAGGAACATTCTGAGAGTCTGCAATCATGGTTCAGACTCCACTGCCACTTGCTGGGACCTTCCCTGTCCTCCAGGGTCTCTGCTAGGAATTGCACCAGAAACCTCAGTTAATGGGACCCTGGTTTGGAAACCCTGAAGATAAACTGTCCCAACAAAAAGTCAGCTGACTTTTCCTTTAAAAGCTATGAAGACAAAAAGAGTCTGCTTTCCTTTGTAACAATCCCCTGCTACCCGCAGCAGGACACAAGTTTTCCACCATTCCTTGAGTTATTTGCCCCCATGGAGGTGGACGGATGTTTTGCCTAGGTTAGGTCAGATTGTAAAGAGTTAGGCGTGGATAGTGTGGTGTCTGGGCTTGTGGCAGTAAGCCAAGATTCAGAGGTGTTGCAGAAAAGGCAAGAACTACCCCCTCCTGGCTAGTAGCCTGCCATGGTTATCCCCCAGTTTAGCTTGACGCGATATTTGCCCATTTTTCTCATGACTGTTTTGTGATTGAGCCACCTGGCTTTAAAATTGGCTTTTGCAATAGGGTGTAGATAGGGTGTGTGTGTGTTTAACCAGGCTACTATGACAAATTAAATGTAGAAGTTTCCTATAAAGAAACAATCAAGTACTCTGCGCTAAATGGAAGCAGTCTGGTGGAGTTTGTCTTCTCTGTGGCAAAATGTAATGCACAGCTCATTAGAATCCACAGGGATGATGTTCTTACTTTGATGTGTTTTGAACTTCAGCATTCTAGAGGCAACATTCAGCACCTGTGAGTTGGAAGTTTTCTTTACTAGTTTCGGGGAACCTTCATCTTCTCCATCCCTTGAGACTCTATGGCTAAGACGTGCTCACTTCTGACTACTCTAACTGTACTTCGCCTTGTCTATATGAGACATGCTGTTGTAAATGATTAGGACTGGCCGGGAGACACATGGAAAAGGCCAGCTTTCCTTGGGGTCTATGTCAGGTGGTTGAGCAGAGAGAGATTGCTAAAAGCAAGTCCTGGCTGAACTGGCTGGCACCTCCTCTAGGCCTGCTTATCCAAAGACAAGGACTCTAAGGTCCTGGCCACACTTAGGAACTGCATCCAGAGCACCAGGACAGCAGGCATGACATCCAGGAGCCATGGGTGTGATACCCCTGTCCCAGTGTTCAGGAACAGTGGACACTTGTCTTGCTACAGAGTTTTCCTCTGACTAGTTGCATAAACAGGGAGAGGAGCATAGAAGGCAAGGACTGGTGTTGACTTTCTCTGCCCTTCTCTGCTGTTCCAGCCTCGATTCCACATCTACAGTGCCCACATACCCTGACCAATAAGGCAGAAAAGTACAGTTACCATCTGCCAAAATAATAATCCTAATAATTGCTAAATGGGTGCTCAGGCTCTGTTAGCTATAACAGTTCACATTAGTCTCCCATTTATCTCCAAGTCCCCTAATGATGGCAGAAGCGGGTGTCCAGTCATGAAGCCTGGTGTGACCATCATCAGCACGGCATTGTCTCTCCTCTTGCTGGCTTTTCCAGCAGCATTAATTCCTTCCCTGTTTGGACTCTGCTAATTATTCTCATTGGTAGCGCAGCCCGAATTTCTGAAAGAGGCAAAGGCAGCAAAGCCCTCGGCTCCCCCTCTTCCCCCACCCGCCCTGAATTTTAATTACACCCAGCTCTCCTAATGAATTTATAAGCCATGGCAGAGAGTGTTATTAATCGACCATGTCTGTGAGCCTCACTCCAAACCACCCTTGTTCTCCCAACGTATACGTGAACACACACACACACACACTCAGATGTTCATCAGGTGCCTTTCTGGATGCAGCTTTGCCAGGGATCTGCATCTGCTGGGTCTGTACTTCCAAGGAGAAAAAAAGGTGGGACTATCTGGGGGCACTTATGTCTCCAGGTTCAGAAGTATCAAACAAAGAGTAGAGGATGTGCGCACCCTCTGTTCCTTGCAACTAAAGCCTCCCTGGATTTCTTCTCTGGTCTTTGACTCTGTGGTGAATCACCTGTCCCCCTTGGGTGATTCAAAAGCCTGTCCTTGGACCTCCAAAAGTCCCGAATACTTAATGTTCTGTATCCTTGCAATAATTAGTCAACATTGGTACCCTTGTCTCCTTTGTGAGAGGTGGATAGCAACGATGTAAAGATATAACAGAAGGGGCATGATGCCCAGTGGGTTGAAATCAATAACAAGCAGTGTGGCAGTGTAGATATTTAGGGTTCTGCCTAGTCTCTCCATCCCCAGATTAAGTGCTGTTCCTTCCTAGGCCCAATTTGCTTGCTTGCCTCTCCCCTGCATGCTTTGCCCAGGTCTCTGCCAGTGTCTGAACCGGAGTTCAACTGGGCAGCTCCTGCTAGGCACAGCCTGAGCCTTCCCCTCCTCTGTGCAGTCACCAGCCACCCTCTCCCCCAAGGCCCCTGAGGGCAGCCATCTCCACCTTAGGGGGTGAGCAGGGAAAATGATTCTTCCTTTTGGCTTTCTCTCCCCAGTTTATCTTTTCAATCACAATCTGTTAGTGAGAATGCCTGTTACTGTTAGAAAATGGATTTTCCTGACACGGGAGCCCATT